CCACGACCAAGTTGGATTCATTCCAGGGGCACAAGGATGGTTTAACATCCGAAAATCAATCAACGTTATCCAACACATCAACAAGAAGAAATATAAAAACCATATGATAATATCAATAGATGCTGAGAAAGCTTTCGACAAAGTGCAACACCCATTCATGATAAAAGCCCTTGAAATTCTGGGGATACAAGGAACATACCTCAACATCATAAAGGCCATCTATGACAAGCCAACAGCCAGTATCATTCTCAATGGTGAAAAGCTGAAAGCAATTCCATTAAGATCTGGAACAAGACAAGGATGTCCACTCTCACCATTGCTTTTCAATATAATACTGGAAGTCCTAGCCAGGGCAATAAGACAAGAGAAAGACATCCAAGGAATCCAAATAGGAAAAGAAGAAGTCAAACTATCACTATTTGCAGACGATATGATATTATACATAGAGAACCCCAAAAACTCCACAGAAAAGCTAATTCAACTCATCAATCAGTTCAGTAAAGTGGCAGGATACAAAATCAACACGCAAAAGTCAGTAGCCTTCCTATACACAAACAATAAATCTGAAGAAGAAGAAATCAAAAAGACCATCCCTTTTGTTATTGAAACAAAAAAAATCAAATATTTGGGAATAAATCTAACAAAAGAGGTAAAGGACCTATACAAAGAAAACTATAAAACACTGTTAAAAGAAATAGAAGAAGACACAAAGAAATGGAGAGACATCCCCTGCTCATGGATTGGAAGAATAAACATTATTAAAATGGCCATCCTACCAAAAGCAATATACAGATTCAATGCTATTCCAATCAAAATTTCAATGTCATTCTTCAAAGAAATAGAACAATTATTGATGAAATTCATATGGAATCACCAAAAACCCCGAATAGCCAAAGCTCTCCTGAAAAAAAAAGAAGGGAATGGAGGCATCAGACTCCCAGACTTCAAACTATACTACAAAGCCATAATCATCAAAACTGCATGGTATTGGAACAAGAACAGACATACAGACCAATGGAATCGAATAGAAAATCCAGAAATAAACCCACAGATTTATGGTCAACTAATCTTTGACAAAGGAGCAAAGACTATGCATTGGAGCAAAGAAAGTTTGTTCAATAAATGGTGCTGGGAAAACTGGGTCGCTACATGCAAAAGAATGAAGCTTGACCACCACCTCACACCATACACAAAAATCAACTCAAAATGGATTAAAGAACTAGACATAAGACCTGAAACCATAAAATACATAGAAGGAAATATAGGCGAAACACTACGTGATTTGCACATCAAAGACATCTTTACAGACACATCACCCAAAGCAGTGATAGTGAAGGCAAAGATAAACAGCTGGGACTACATCAAATTAAAGAGCTTCTGCACAGCAAAAGAGACAATAACAAAAACAAAGAGAAACCCCACCAACTGGGAGAACATTTTTGCACCCAACACTAATGATAAAGGACTGATCACAAAAATCTGCAAAGAGCTGATGAGACTCAACAACAACAAAGAAAATAATCCAGTCAAAAAATGGGCAGAAGAGCTTAAAAGAAACTTCTCTGAAGAGGAAATGCAAATGGCCAACAGGCATATGAAAAAATGTTCAACATCACTTGTCATCAGGGAAATGCAAATCAAAACTACCATGAGATACCATCTTACACCAGTGAGAATGGCACATATTAAAAAAACTAGCAACAACAAATGTTGGCGAGGGTGTGGAGAAAAAGGAACTCTTCTGCACTGTTGGTGGGAGTGCAAACTGGTCCAACCACTGTGGAAAGCTGTATGGAGATTTCTGGACCTACTAAACATAGAACTTCCATATGATCCAGCAATTCCACTCCTAGGTATTTACCCAAAGGACACAGAAACATCAATTCCAAAGAACACCTGCACCACTATATTTATAGCAGCACTGTTTACAATAGCTAAGCTTTGGAAACAACCCAAATGCCCAAAAATAGATGACTGGATCAAGAAGATGTGGTACATATATACCATGGAATATTACTCAGCATTCAAAAAAGATAAACACATGCAATTTGCAGCAACATGGATGGCGCTGGAAGGGATCATGCTCAGCGAAATAAGCCAAAAAGAAAAAGAAAAATACCAGATGGTCTCACTCATAGCAGGAATCTAGAAAACTTAAATAAGGGACCAGGAAAATGAATAACTATAAGAAAGTGAAAATCAAAATCAACAAAAAACTATGAACCAGAGACACTTTTAGGGGGGCGGGGGTGGGAGGGGAGGGATTGGGGTCAGAATGGGGGGGCTGCAATTGTATGGGGAATATAACAATAAATTTATTTACAAAAAAAAAAAATAAAACTCATAGAAGAAAACATAGGGGCAAATTTTTGTGACCTTGGATTTGCCAATGGTTTCTTAAATATGACACAAAAAGTCCAAGCAATAACAAAAAATTAACTGAACTTCATAAAAACTAAAAATTTGTATGCATTAATGAGACTATCAAGAGATTAAAAATAAAATTCACAGAATAGGAGAAAATACTTGGCTAATCTGTATCTGAGAAGTATCTAACGTTCATTATATAAAAGAAACTTATAACTCAATAATGAAAAGACAATCCAATTTTAAAATGTGCAAGGGCTAGAATAGACATTTCTCCAAAGACTATAGAAAAATGGCTAACATTAATAAGAAAAAATGTTTAATGTTATTGTTGGTAGGAAAATTCAATCAAAATCACAATGAGATGCTACTTCAAATCCACTAGAACGGCTACAAATTTTTTTTAAAGAAAATAAGTGGGGCCTCCTGGTGGCACAGGGGTTAAAGACAGCGCTATCAAGCTATTGCCAGCCACTGCAGCACGAGTTTGATCCCCAGCCTGCCAGGGAGCTAACCCACCTGGGGAAGCAGACCTCTCCTGCCTCTCCCACTGCTCCCCTCAGCAATGTGTTTCAGTAGATCTGCCTGTTCTGCTCCCCACTCTGTCTCTGGTGAATCCTCTCACCACCCCCCTGCACTTCTGGCCTTCATCCCAGTTCTTGTATGCATAAAATAAATAAATATTAAAAAAAAAGAAAGTAACATGTATTGGTGAAGATGTGGAGAAATTGTAACCATCATACATTGTAGGTCCAGTGTGAAATGGCAGTCACTGTGGGGAATATTTGGTGAATCCTCAATAAATTAAACATATAATAATATAATGTAACAATTCCACTCTTAGGTATACACTCAAAAGAACTGAAAACCAAGTTTTCAAATAAAATCTTGTATAAGAATTTCCATAGTAACACTATTTACAATAACCATAAGATGGAAACAATATTTTTTAAAGATTTATTTATTCATGCATACAAGAACCAGGGTACAGGCCAGATGCGCAGGAAGGTGAGAGGATTCACCAGAGACAGAGCAGGGAGCAGAACAGGCAGATGGACCGAAAGACACTGCTAGGAGGAGCAGCGGGTGAGACAGGAGAGGTCTGCTGCGCCATGTGGGATTCTCGCCTGCTGGCTGGGATCAAACCAGAAGGCTGCAGACAGCTTCACAGCGCTGCGCTCAACTGCCTGCACCACCAGGGGAGTTTTTTTTTTTTAATGTACCTTCTTATTTTAAGATATTGGGATAGCTTTAACCTAAAACAACAACAAAAAAAAAAAAAAACCCCAAAAAACCAACAACCCATGAACAAACAGATGGCAGGGCACAGAATAACAGATGTTGGAAGTTGTAAGGGTTTAAATAATCTCAAAAAGTTCTCATAATAGTCATCTGCTGTTGTAATTTTTATATATTTGAAAAAGCATGTTGAGTACACACTATATTTTATATTGTAAAAACAGTCATATCACATGTTGCTAAACAATCATGCATTGCTTTATGTTTTGGTCAACAACAGACCACGTATACCATGGTAGTCCCAACAGATCATACCATATCAACTAGGTGTATTATAGGCTATACCATCTAGCTTTGTTAAATTACACTCTATGATATTCACACAACCACAGACTCTCTGATGACATATATCTCAAAATATATCCCTATCCTTAGGTGAGGCAATACTGTACGAATTATTATAAATCAAAGGCTTAACAAAACACAAATTATTATCTTATAATTCTACACATCAGAAGATTGATATAGTTCTGAGTGAGCTAAAAATCAAGGTGTTTGTAGAGCTGCATTCCTTTCTGGAAGTTCTAGGGGAAAATCTGTTTCCAGCTTCCAGAGATCACCCAAATTCCTTGGCTAGTGGGCGCTTTCCTCCAACTTCAAAGCCAACAGTATCGCATCTCTCTGACCCTTCTGTATTTCCCATTTACTTTTAAGAAGTCATGTTTTTAGATTAGGCCTACATGGATCATCAGGGATAATTCCCCATATCAAGGTCTGCTCCCTTAATCATATCTACAAAGTCCATTTTGCCTACAAGTAACATATTCACAGATTCCAGGAATTAGGATGTGTACATTTTTAGGGGGCCATTGGTTACCTACCACATACATACAAACACATCTGGCTATTTGCAGCATACCTCTCCTGTGTCCCCACCTTAGGAACTTTAGATAAAAAGTTTCTTGAATATAGAGCCCATGTCTTATGCATTTCTGAATTCTGCTTAACATGGAGCACATTTTATATATATATTAAATGATTATATTTTGGTTTAAAACTATAACTTATTTTTCTTAACATCAAACTCTAATAATAAGCTGGCCCTATATGTAATTTTTTAAATCTTTATTTTGTTGCCTATACATTAACCTTTAATCCGAGCATAACAGCTTTGCCTCCAAGCACTATAGCACAGCAATGAATTCTGTGGAATTCTTTAATTTATTAAAGTATTATTCCAAATTATTCATATGGAATTCTTTAATTTATTCTGTTTTATGCTGCCAGTTTCATCCTATTTTATAACATCAAAATGCCTTTCTGGTCACTCAGGTGACATAAAATTAGTGTAGGTGTGCCATCTAGTGGCATTTTAAGAAAGTATTCATTTTTACCTGAGTTGATAGTTTACTGAGTATTGCCATTTATCAAACATCATCCTCAGTAACAGGAAGCTAGAAAAAACAGTGGGAAACTGAAGTTTGCTGATGATCTGAAAACATCATTATAACTAATAATGCAAATCTTCCCCACAATAGCTTTAACCAAAGTTGTTAATAAAAAAAAGAAAGCTTTATGATTTGAGGCCTTTTATAATAACATTACTCAAATTCTAGTGAGTGACTTAACTTCATGATTAACTTAAATTCAAAACTTATTTGGTTCTATCTCCAATGTAGACTCTATTAAATCACTGCTAATTACCAATTACAATTTTGTAGCATCATAGAAAAAGAAGGAAAGGGCAAAACTTTCTAACCCAGGGTATGCATTATAATCCCCCAGAGAGCTTAAAACAACATGCCAGCCAGAAAGAAATCTGACTGGTTTGGGGTGGGATCTAAACATTGAAAAGTAAAATCATCCCTGGGTGAGTCTCTGGGGAAAGAGCCCTGAAACAGAGGCCTCCTTGGTGGTACAAGGGGTTAAGACGAAACCTACAGAAGGGCCTCCCTGGTGGAGGGGCAGGGTGGGGGGGGGGGGGGGGGGGCGTTGAGACGCAACCTATGAAGCTATCCATAGCCACTACAGCACAAGTTCTATCCCCAGCCAGGTAGACACCCGCATGTGCAGCAAACCTCTCCTTGCCGCGGACCAGCACAGCAATAGACGAGGCCGTCTCAGGGTTGAGAGAAACGTGCAGGGTGGTCAGGGCGTTGGCGAAAGAAATGACAAACAGACACAGTTCAAGAGAGAGTGTAAATCTGAGTGTAATTTTCTTTGAGTTTGTGACCAGTATATATATGTTTTCTAAAAGCATAGGAACAATGAATATCAACGAAAACAGCTTGCTCAGGGGTTTAGCTTATCACTGACAGGGCAGTGATTTACATCTGGACCTAGCCTCATTCCTAAGTAGATAGACCATTAGTTTTGTTTTTAAACTATATAATCGCATTTTTTGTTTTACTAACTACTTTTTTACCTAAAAATTATTACAGGGTTTAGTAATGTTTCATTTGAGTCAGCCTTGTTTAAGGATTTCATATGATTTTTTAATTAACAACCAATGACCTTTATAGAAGAAAAAAGGAAGTTTAGAAAGACAATAAGGGAATAAAGTTTGTAGTTCTAGAAAGACGAGATAAGGTTTTTTAGCATTCTTGTAGTGGTTCCTGGTGGTCGTTATCTTTTGATAAGCATCTGTCTTATCTATGTTTTCAGGGAACTTTGCTGTACTCCCCTGCGCTCTGGTTCCTTGCCCAGCTGGACCTAGGGACCTTGGCGAAAGCCATTAGCCCTAAAGGTCACTGCAGGGGGAGGTGCAGCATCTCCTGTCTTGCCCTCAGCTCCCCTCAGCAGTGTACTTCAGTCAATCTGCCTGTTGGTTCCCCACTCTGTCTCTGGTGAATCCTCTCACCCCCTGCACCTCTGGCCTATACCCCAGTTCTTGTATGCATGAATAGAGAAAATCTTTTAAAAAAAATAATTAATATTTTAAAATGTATATATTTAGAAATAAATCTCAGGAGGATTTAAAAAAAAAATAAAAAGACACAACCTATGGAGCCTTCCGCATCCACTGCAGCACGAGTTTGAAAAAAGCCCTCAAACAGTAACAGGATAATTTGTTATTTGGTATAGCCAGAGCTGAGAACCTCGTCAATGGTATAAGATGTAGCTGCATCTTTATTCTGGTCCTCTTCCTAGAAAGAAAGTGATAATATTGCGAATTACTGAGTTATGAGTTATCTTTTTTAAAAAAAAATTATTTAAAATAATTTTTTAAAATTTATTTTAAAATTATATATTTTAAATTTTTAAAAAGTTTAAATAAATTTTAAATAATTTAAAATAAATAATCTTATTTAAAATAATTTTTTAAATAATTATTTTTAAAAAATAATTTATTTAAAATAAATACTCTCTCGCTGGCCAGAGATCAAACTCATGCTGCAGTACCTGCGGATTGCTTCATAGTGCTTCATGTGCCACCAGGCCCTGATTTATCTTTTTTAACTTAAAAAAAAAAAAAACTGGTAAAAGGATTCCAGTTGTTAAACTTTATTTTGCTTTATTCTATTTATCCTTTTCATTGAGGTGTTGTTAAATAGGAAAAGTACCAAAAGACATGTCATTACAGGCTAAACTTATCAGTAGGGATGGTGTTTCAATTGGGATTATTTTTGAAACCTTTCCTCTGAAAAACTAAGCTAAGCTGAAAACTGATGATGCTGGTAGTGTTCCTGATGTTTGACCTGAGTGACAGCTAGAGTGGGCACTGAGATCAGTGGACAAAAGCCAAGGCTATTCTCAAAGTTCTGGTCTATCTGGTTGAGGAGCAGTTTGTCGGGAGGGGCAGTTTGACATGGGCCTGGATGTTCCTACATATTCTTACTGGATAGGTCAAGAATACATGGCTCAGACTGTCCTTTATTTGGACAGTTTCTCTGGGTTGTGTCTGCAGCAAACAACTGTGAAGAATGAGGCAGATTCCCAAACCCATTGTTCCTCTAGTGTGCTACAAACCACAGAGTGCACAGAATCCATCTTTGTCACCTATGTGAGACTTAAAAGAAATGGGGAATTGACACCAACCTCATGCTCATGCTACTTACTTTGCTGTAACTAACAAAGTCCTTTCTCTGACGAAGATGCCTCCTGTATTTGGCTAGCATCCATGAAATAGTGGCAGGTTAATTTGCTAGCTTGCAAGTAGGGTAAGATCCTAGACCCGTCGCAGATTCTTACTTTATATGGACTGATGTGAAAGACATATTTTCCAGAATTTCTAGATAAGGACTTTCTTGAGTATGGTTATACCTGGCTGCTTCATATGCCTAATATTTGGTCTCCCCTTGGACACTGTTCTGTTATAGTAATTCAGTTGTCTATTTTTTTCAGTTGTTCCACTCACCCAAAAGAAATCATTATCCTGCACAAATCACTCTCGTCTCTATTGCAGTAATAATAATAGCAGCAACAACTAATACTTATAGTGTGAAACACATTATCTAAAGACCTGAGGCATTGTTCTACACATTCTCTGTACACTCTCTTCTTTACTTCTCAAAATGACCCTCTGAAAGAGAAACATTCACTTCCAATTTATAAATTAGGACACTAAAGCACAAGTCATGCAGTTAGTCCAGGTGGGACATGGGATTCCAATCCAAGCAGTCTGACTTTAGTCCTCACTTATAACCACTCACTATGCTGTCTTACAGAAGGATTTCCACTCCCAGGGCCAAAATGAACCATTGAGGCCGAGACCTTTGTTGCAAATCTTAGGAAAATAATTGGTTAAACTTTGATTATGCAATTTTGACATACAAAATTTTAAAATATTTTTTGACAAGCTGTATTAGGCAGTTAACAATCTTCTACTTTGACTACTTTGATCCTTTCTTGAGCATTTTCTCACTCTGCAATACCTTTCTATTGCTACCATACCAAATTATCAAATTATCTCACAATTCTGGAAGTGAGAAGTTCAAAATGGACTAGAAGGACTGCATTCCCTCAGTTCTAGGGGAGAATCCATTTCCTTTTCTTTTCCAGCTTCTAAAAGTCACCTGAATTCCTTGGCTCACAGCCCTTTATTCCATCTTCAAAGCCAGTAGCACAGCACCATAATCTCCTTCTCTTTTTTCCTCTCTGAGTCTAAGTCTCTTGCCTCCCTCTTTCCCTTATAAAGACCAGTATGATGACACTGGGCCCATCCACCAACTTGCCCATCTCCTTAGTCACTTTGCAAAGTCACTTTTGCTATGTAAGGTAACATTGTCAAAGGGGATTAGAATGCAGTTATCTTTGGGGGATAAAGAGCCATTACTCTGTCTGTTATACACAATAAAGTTATTTATTGCAATATGTAAAGTTTTACACAAATATCTAGATCAGAGATTTAAAACAAACCCATTCACCAGATAATAGCAAAGCAGTTCACCTTGGCTTTGAGGATAAAGATTTTGGGGGTCAAAGAGAACACACTGCTGGAACACACATCACAGAAATCTTAATCACTCTAACAACATACATGCTTAAGAAATTGAAAATGTACCTGAAGTCGAGCATTCATAAGCATGAACTCCTGTTGGGCTTTCATGTTCTCATTCATAGATTTTGAAAGTATAAACCCCATTTTGACCTAAAATGTAAAAAAGCAAGGAGGATTACAACAATGTATTCTACATGCATCTTCAAATGCTCTGCTTCAGGCTACCATGAACTTATGACAAAGTTAGGAAAAGAAAAATTTCTTTTTTTTTTAAGATTTATTTATTTTATGCATACAAGAACTGGGGTACAGGCCAGAGGTGTGGAGGGTGAGAGGATTCACCAGAGACAGACTGGGAAACAGAACAGGCAGAATGACTGAAAGACACTGCTGAGGGGAGCAGCGGGCGAGTCAAGAAAGGTCTGCCACGCCATGTGGGCAGCTACCTGGCGGGGATCAAACTGGTGCTGCAGAGGCTGCGGATAGCTTCATAGGTTGCGTCTTAACCCCTTGCGCCACCAGGGAGGCCCGGAAAAAGAAAAATTTCTAACCTGGAAACACATTGTGGATTCTAGTCCTGGCCCCTAACTTGTATGTGACTGTGGCAACATAACCATTCTGGCCTATCATTTACTCATCTAAGAACAGCTGATTGAACTGGCTGATTTCAAGAATCTTCTCTGTTAAGTAAATGAATGACTCCATGTTTCCTGACTTTTTTCCCCACTGTAAATATTAAAGAACTGAATATCAAAAACAAAAAAACCCTCTCATTTTTGTGAGGGGCAATGTTGATGCCATTCATCCTCTTTCCTTCTGTATAGTTCTAGCGTATGTGGTGCTGAAGCAAGCACATTCCTTCTGTACAGTTGAATGGCAGATCCTTTGTTTCTAAGGAGGGGTAATTTAGATGCATTGTGAACCCTGAGGACAGATTTCTCTGTGCTCCTTTGCATTTGTGTTTTAAGAAGTTTTATGTGTCTTAAGGTCAGTATATCAGTATTCTTCCTGTAATCCCTGCCCCTTAATACACACCTCCTATCTCCATTCACCTACTGCTGATAGTCCTTAGTCATCCTTCCCTAGCTTTACCTTTGTCCTCATCAAGCTACTACTGAAGTGCTCAATAAGGGAGGGAGGGGGTGGGGATGAGGATATTCAAATATACTGGGAAATAATTTAAAATCAAGTATGTAATACTGTCTACCTTACTTATCTTACTTAAGAAGTTCTTAAATTGGCTGTCAACACTAGGTAGGCAAGAGCTCAAATTTTTGTTCTTAAGCTAACTGAGTGGGTACAAAAAGACCCTCAGTGAGTTGTTGGTTTTACTTTCAGAAGACCGCGAAACTCAGGGAAGTTAGAACTGCTCTACTCTCTTCAATACGATGATTGCTGATTTTTTTTTGTTACACTGTTGAGCAGGGTGGTAAACCTCAGGTCAGTGTGACCACTCAATGCTTCCTACCTAATAGTCACAGTATTCTGTAGGAAATCCAACAGAGGTTGTTTCCTCTATAAGAAATCCTAGGTTCTGGCTAACTAGGGAGCTGAAGGGGGAGAGAGGGATGGCATTTCATATCAGGCAGAATGGTACCCCAGATGAGTGGGAACTGCAAGCTAGACTTCAGTGGATTCCATGTAATATGACCAAAGATGCTTCTCAAGTGACAGGGATCTCTGAGCCAGAGTCAACCTCAGTGCTGGGCATGAGACCAAGCCATTTACAGGGAGCAGAGGCACTGCCCTAAACAGGGCTGGGAGGTGATGAGGTTTCCCTCCCTCTCTGCCACTGCCACATTCCATCATGTGACCAGAGTTAAGTGCATCTATTTTGGATGCTACCATGTAATATGACCAAAGATGATTCTCAAGTGACAGGGATCTCTGAGCCAGAGTCAGCCTCAGTGCTGGGCATGAGACCAAGCCATTTACAGGGAGCAGAGGCACTGCCCTAAACAGGGCTGGGAGGTGATGAGGTTTCCCTCCCTCTCTGCCACTGCCACATTCCATCATGTGACCAGAGTTAAGAGGTCACCCACCGAGAGTGAAGAGATCTAGCAGAGGTTGTCTCCTTTCTCCAAATATTTGCAGCTCATGTCAGTTGCCTCCAATAGCAGACCATAATGTTTGCAGAGTGTATGAATGATATAAGAGAAACCAAAGCTCAAGCCACTGGCTATTCCTTATTTTTCTTCTGCACATAGGAGTGGATGACTGAATTCTTCAATATGCTGTAAATGTATACAATGAAAATAACTACCTTCTAAACCCATTCCTCTTCATACACACAACCCTAAGTCACAGAGCTGTTTCCTTAGCATGTTCCCATATATAAAGTGGAGAGACAGACCTTTTGTCAGTCATCAGGGAAGAGAAATGATCTGGAAAGTTAGGATTTAGGCTTACCTCTTTCTGTGCCTTGCTTCCTGGGAAATAGGTTGTAGTTTGGATGTGTCATGGGATGCTCCCAAGGCTTAATGGGAGAAACCAAGCAGGGAGAAGAGCTTCCTTGTGGGAGCCCACTTGGGAGAATGAGTGTATCATATCTTGTCCACTTCACCAGAATTCAGAATTTTCAATCTTCTTCTCCTTTCTTACTCCTAACAAACCCATGTCCCAGGCTGGGAGTTTCATTAGGGTGTCTAGAGTACCCAACTTGCTTTCTTCCACTCACAAACTATTTGTCAGAAAATAAGCAAGAATGACTTTGCAATAGGATTATCTTTGAATTCACTCAATTTTTTAAGACTTCAAAACTCCCAACACTTCATCACTGGTGACAAATGTCTTGCTACTTACAACTTACCAGTTGTTTCAGTGGGTTGAGAATGCTGATTAGGTCCCTTCTGCTTCATTTTTCTTTTGATTACTACTAGACATTAGAAGGGTCTCTAATGTTCTAGCCTTGCCTACATTACAATGGAATGTGCTAATTCTTTTTATTTTATTTTATATATTTTTTACATCATTTTTCATTTTTTGTACAATGTATGCATTTTCATCTTGGTTATATTCCCCATACAATTCCCACCCCCCTTATTTTGACCCTAATCCCTCTCCCCCACCCCTTGTGTCTCTGGTTTATAGTTGCTTGTTGATTTTGATTTTTACTTTATTATAATTAGTCTTTTTTCCTGGTCTCTTATTTAGGTTTTCTAAATTCCTGCTATAAGTGAGAACATCCGTTTTTTTTTCTTTTTCTTTCTGGTTTATTTCGCTGAGCATGATCCCTTCCAGCTCCATCCATGTCGCTACAAATTGCATGAGTTTATCTTTTTTGATTGCTCAGTAATATCCCATTGTGTATATATACCACATCTTCTTGATCCAGTCATCTATTTTTGGGCATTTGGGTTGCTTCCAAAGCTTAGCTATTGTAAATAGTGCTGCTATAAACATAGGGGTGCAGGTGCCCTTTTGAATACATGTTTCTGTGTCCTTTGGGTAAATACCTAGGAGTGGAGTTGCTGGATCATATGGAAGCTCCATCTTTAGCAGGTTGAGGAATCTCCATACAGCTTTCCATAGTGGTTGGACTAGTTTGCACTCCCACCAGCAGTGCAGGAGAGTTCCTTTTTCTTCACATGGGATGTGCTATTTCTGAGGAGTGAAGATTCCAGACAACTTAACTCTGGTCACCCCTGGAAACCTTGGATTTGATTTTACATATTCAAAACAAAACTGAGTAATTCCATAACCCATCTCGTCTGTCATCCAGATTTTCTCACTGACTCATTTCCTGACCAAATGATGCATTAACTGCATTTATGACTGGTTGCATAATTACCATCATTTTCTAAGTCTTTCTTGTCCATTTAAACTAGGTCACTTCACGCAAATTCCACCCCGGAACCTACAGCTTCCGGAAGGTTTTCCCCGATTCAACTCCACCTTCGCTCTCTGGACCCAATTACAGTAACTTGGGTATTTCCTGCAGTGGTATGTTGGTTTCCGTTGATAGTGTTCTTCCTGCTTTCACCAACTCGATCATAGCTATACTGGATAAGCCATGGGTCCTTGCAACAGTGTTATGGAATGTGAGCTGGCAATACCGGTCAACATTAGGGGCAGGTTGAGACCCAAAGGCCAGTGCCCAGGAGCAACGCAGACCCAGCACCGCCGGGCAAGCCCGGATCCCAAAACTCGGTTCCGGTAGACTGGGCCATGTGACCAACGCTTCCCCACGCGCCGGCGGCCACCCCAGCCCCGGCCGGCGCCTACTCACGCGGCTGTGGGCGGAGATCCAGTGGTCGCAGCTGGCACCTCCGGGTCTGGGAACCCCTGAGACCTGCACAAAGACCCGGCTTCGCTCCGCAGAGCCTCGGGATTGGCTGATCAAGAATGTGGCGTCCCAGCCTCAGCCAATCCAGGCCAGCCTCGTTCTCTTAAAGCGCTCGCTGGCGCGACAGAGTCCCAGCGAGTTCTAGGCGTGGCAGCCTAGTCGGGGCGCAGATCGAAGAGGCAAATTCAAACTCGAAAACAAGTTAACTGTCAGAAGAAGGGAATGAGGAAGCCGAATGGAAACTTCTCTTGAAGTCTCCACTGAGGTCTGTCAGTTACCCAAGTATACACGCTCCTGCGCCGAGCTAAGCCTCACTAGAGTTTAATGAGCCAATTCAAGTGTTGTTCTCCAGAATTGTATCAGCCACCGCTGTTGGGTTTCTTTTCTATAAGAGAATGTATCTCGTGAGAGAGCGTCACTTAAACATATAGGCCACGGTTATAAACATGTCTAAGAGCTTTTCCACTTAGATAATAGGTTTAAGGTGGAGGGTTGCCTTTTTTTCTTTTTCCTTTGAAGTTCAACGCAGACACAGCCCAATCTGTTAAATTACCATCATTAAAGTAACAAAAGGTTAAGACATAATGTGCAGGCTTGAACAGAGTTACTAATTATTCTTTTTTGCACAAAACCATCTTTCTCCCCTGCTACTCTGAGAAGTGTCCTTTCCTCCCCATTCCCAACAGCAGTTGCTATTATGAGTAAATCAGGTCTTTTTTCCAGCCTCACTGAGAGAATACTTGAGTTGTTGGCACTCTGTTCTTTGCTATTAAATGGGAGAATAGCATGAACTTCACCAGGAATTAAGGGACATATTAGTAAAAACATTAAACACATTTTATAGGACGTAAAATCTTTTTACCTTTTTTGAAAACGTTTTTAAACTTAAGTTCAAGATTTTCTTAGTAGTATTTTCTTTTAACATAGGTGTTTTCACAAATATTGTGAATTTCTCTGTTAATCTAGGAACCAGATTTAGCCAAGAACCTCAGTCTGTGAAGGATGGCAAGTAGCAAGTATACATTGTGGGGCTGAGGTTAGAAGCTCTTCAATATTAAGCTGTTCTGGAATGGTGTTACCCATTCTTTGAAAAACACAGTTTGAATTTTAATCTTACACTTCAGTCATCGGGCATAACTATAGCCTGGGCACAATCTGAACTAGCAGAGCAGCTTTGTGTAGCCTTGTTTGGACTTTGGTCATTTCTCAACAGTAACACTATGTGGCAGTATAATATAATGGCAGCTGCAGATTCATCAGATTCTGTTCTCTCCCTACCTAGAGATTTCAAAATGAAGATATAATTTATATACTATAATTTATATACTGAATATATAATTTATATACTATAAATTCACCATTTTAAAGTGTACAACTTAGTGACTTTTTATACCTTCAAAGGGTTGTGCAACTATCATACATATCTAATTCCATAACATTTTTATAGCCCCCAAAAGAAACCATGTATCATTAGGAGTCACAACCCATCCTCCCACTTTTCTATCCACTGGCAATCCTTACCTAATCTGCTATCTCAACAGATTTATAGCTGAATAGTATTGCAGTATATGGATATATCACATTTGGTTTCCATTCAAAAATTGATGGACACTTAGATTGTTCCCAGCATTTTGCTATCGTGAATAATGTTGCTGTGAATATTTACATACAAACTTTTGTACATGTTTTTAGTTCTTCGAAAAATACACTTAGGAATGAAAAAAAGCAATATTATTTGTCGAGCCTTGCCATTAAAGTGGAGTAGTTAGAGATAACAATAACTTAAGGGGCCAGCAAATCAAGGAAAGTTTTCTTGAGCAGGCCAAGATCATATTTCAGAGTGTAACCTTAATAAAATAAGCTTCACATGGTTCAATCCAAGCATAGAATAGCATTCTCAGAGAACATAAACTGACTGCTGAAGCACTGAAGAATAATACTTAAGTTTTATTAAGGAGTCCCTGCAAATGCTTTGCACAGTATATTGAATAGGTAATGCCTCAAATCTTCTCTAGATCTTTTGCTTTCCAAATTTCTCACTCATACTGGCTGCTTATATTTCTCCTATTTCTTGACATGGTATCTCCGTGCCATTAGTTCATCCCCTATTAACTTCCTTCTGCTATAGCCCATGAGACTCCTAAGACCCTATTCTCAACTTATGACTCAGCCTGCTGCACCCCTGAGAAATTCAACCTGGCTCCTACATAAAATTTTTTTTTAATTGAAAACAGTCTCTGAATTCTGATTAATAAATGATGTATCTCATTTTTGTATTCCCTCTCCCTAATAGCCTTTACAAGAAGTATACAATTTGGGTCATCCAGGAAGAAAAAACAATCATATCCAGATCTCAGTCTTTATTTCTTTTCTCCTCCTTCTATATATAGTAAATATCCTGGAAGTATTGCACAGCTTGATCTGATAACATCCAATAAATTTCTTCCAAGCGAACCTGGAAATAACCATATAGTGTGCAACCATCCCAGGTCGGGCAGGTTCATTGTCAATTCTCTCAGGTGAAAAGAGAATTTGGAGCTTTCAGTGGATTTTGCAGTCCTTTTCATGCTGAAACGGAGAGTATACACTGGCAGGCAGAGAGAGCAAAAGAGACTCCAACTCTGAGAAAGGCAAAACAACTCCTGTGCCTAGCAAATGCAAGAACAATCTATTGTTTGCTAGAGGTCTGAATGGGGGAAAACAGCATTTAAAGGTCTAGGCCTCTGATCTTAACTCATTTTCCTTACACCATGTCAATGTTAGTACTTATTCTTGGAGGGCATCTTCCTCTTGCCTTTTAATAATATACGAATAAAGAATGAAGTAACTGGATTAAACTGATTGTGGTAACAGCTACAGTGGTAATGTTAGAACATTCATCAGGTCAATCCCCTGCTTTAAATCATGCAGTGGCTTTCCATTGCAGTTAGAATCTAACCTTCTTCCCTTGTTCTTGAAGGCCTTTCATGTATGGGATGATCTAGCAACCCTCACTTCACTCTACACTCCAGACACAATGTCCATCTTCCCCTACTTAGAATCTGCCAAGTGTATTCCTTCCTATGGGCTTTGCATCTTTGACCCATCTACCATAAATGCTTTTCTTGCAGATCTTCTAATAGTTGTCTTCATAATTTATTTCTCAACATCATCTCTTAGAATAACCTCCCCAGGACATCATAAGTGAAAGTCCTATATCTAGTAATTTCCCTGTTTTCTTTCTTTCCTTTTTTTTTTTTTTTTTTTTTTTTATAGAGGCATGTTTTATTTATTTATTTATTTGTTTGTTTGTTTTGTTTATACATGCACTGGGTACAGTCAGAAGCGCGGGAGGGTGAGAGAATTCGCCAGAGCGGGGAGCAGAGCAGGCAGAAGGACCGAAGTACACTGCTGAGGGGAGCAGCGGGCGGCAGGAGAGGTCTGCGCGCCATGCGGGACCCTCCTCTGGTGGCCGGGGAGCAGCCGGGGATCGAACCGGCGCCGCAGAGGCCCTGGGCAGCCTCGCAACCCAGCGCTCAACCGCTGCGCCACCGGGGAGGCCCTCTTTCCTTTTTTTTTTAAATAAGATTTTTCAGTATCTGAAATTTCTGTTTGTTAATTTATGTGTGGAATCTCATGGAACAGAAGGGGACTTTTCAAGAAAAAGTGGGGTAATGGAAAATTATGAGTGTATGCCATGACTTGTAGATTTAAGGGGTTGTTGATATAGTTAACCTAAATGTGAGTATAAATGAGCATAAA